GGGTTAAGGTTGGTTTTATTTAACGCATCTCTTAAGCGTCTTCTAAAAAATGACAAATTACTTAACGCGACGACCTTTTGCACCAGCAGCGACGACGACGACGATGGGCTACATAATTGATCGTTGTCATTTCATTATCATCATCAAAATGACAAATGTGTCCAAAGATGAGCAGAAACGTTAGGTTGGGCGGGGACGGATAAGTGTGATGATGATTCTGTTGATTGATGATGAACTATCTGCTGGTTTATTACTGCATTTAAGCCTGTGGTGGCTGTGGTGCGATGTTTTGTGGGGGTGGGTGAATAATGAATGTCAGTGTTTATAATAAGAATAAGGTGTTAAATCTCTAATCGTGACTTTGGTGGCATCGTTGTCCTCATCGTGTAAAAAAATATGAATATGTAAAGAGGATAAGAAACTACAAATTTTTAAGAATTCTGCACACACTTTTTTCGTAATAATAATGAAGTTAGCGTCGATTATCTGATTAGTAAGGCTTTTATTACTTCACCAATTTTTGAGTCGTGTTTTAAGTTTACTTCTTTGAGGAAATGTTGAGCGTGAAATCCGGTGACCTTTCCTCAGATATTGATACGCATTATGCAGAACTTATGATAAAGTCAGTATACCAGCGTAAGAAGAAGTGATGCTTCATCTGATAAGATCACCACGGATGATAACCACGAGCGCATTATGTGTGTAAAACGCTGCACCGCTCGTCGTGTCGCCTGTCTCTCTTTGTTCAATTATTATTTCTATAATTCATTCAGGGCCAGACCAGACAACAATTTATATAACACCATCATCATCATTGTTTCAAAGTTAATTGCACGTTTCCACTCATTCGTAAAGATTTGAACTTATTTACTGCAGCGTGATAAGGCAGCAAAGTTATTAAAAAGTTGAATATGATACGAGGTGTCGGCCACAAAGGGAAGAAAGGTTTTTCTAGCCTTGTGTGGTTCATTTCTTGTCGATATCATCCACTCATCGCATTTTTGGGCAGTTTGACTTTGCCAATTTGGCATATTCAGGAGGACTTATGCCAACGAGAAGTTTGTAAAAAAAATCAAAGCCACCAGTTTTTCAAATTCAATTTCATTTTATGTATAGGCTATTTTTGTCGCCAATGTAAATACGCTGGGCAAGATTTTGGCGAGTGGTGGGACAGAACCATATAATTTATTTAGTTAATAGTCCTCCTCATTGCGAAATGAAAATATAAGAGGCGATCCATAATAGTCCTTCACAGCCAACCCTGCGTTACGTGTGTGTTGTGTGTATGTATGCATAATACCGTTCTTTATTGGCTACCAAGAAATCTAAATTTTTTCAATAGGGCATTAATCACTGTATACATACACACAGATCTTGGAAGTACAGACGTATACGCACTACTTGAACGTACAAAAAGTATTGAAATGCAAGAAATGGGAGCAATTAAACCATAATTAAATCGAAGCACAAGGATATCCTACGGGGGACGACAGGGACGCGGACTTGGGCAAATAATAAAAATCAAAATATAGAATAAGGTGAACTATTCCCGGTGTTAGTTACGTACCTATTCGAATTGGAGGTTGGTAATAATTAACGAGTCATTTAAACCAACTCAAGTAGTGACGTTATGAACTGATATTTATATCATCCACGCTTTATTCCGGAACAATCAACAATGGGTGAACATTACATGTCGTGTAAGTAACGCGTGTATGCAAGATATGTACACAATAAACTACTAAAATTGGACTTGGTTGATTCAGCCATCCTTAAAAAAACATCATGTGGTGGTCTTTCTTCAGGTCGTTTAGACTTTGCTAATTTTAAGTCGTGTTTAATTATAAGTGTGCAATTTACACTGTCAAAGTTGCAGCAGTGTTGTTGATTGCGGTTAATTTATGGCATCCAACCTCGGAATTGGGTTTAAGACTTCAAAAAAAGTATATAACGTCATTCAAGAGCAGTCTTTAATTTGATATTGTATAGAAGTAGCAATAATAATCAAGAAGATGTGCATAATAAAAGACCTTGCCACTTTTTTAGCAAGAAAAAATATCATCAAAGAAATATCTAGCAACGGATAAATAGCTATCGCATGTCGACTTGTCATTAGTTAATTTACTCTTAGATTTACCTCTGAAATAATGCTAATAAATTTGACTGGGTCCTATTGTGTTACAACAATAGTTGTTAATGCTAAACGTTCCTCATGACATGATGATCCCTTGTGGTTAGTTGAGCAGCTTGCTCATTAACATGATGATTTCCATGATTATGAAATAATAAATGTGCCAATCTATAAATTACCCGTAAATAATAAATTCAATGTTGGGTACAAATACGGAATTATTCAATGAAAGGGGATAAGAACCAAAGCCAAAAATTTGGAAAACGCTGCAGCAATAACCACACATTAATGACTAATCGAGAAAAACAGGATAAAACAAATATAGCTAAATCTCTATTTTGCAATATAACAGCAACCGTTTGCATGCATATAAACCGCAATTATGTACCAGCAAAACCAGAAGAGTTGCATAGCTATGAACGTCACGATGAGCAACAGCAAAAGAATGTCAATCGTTTACAACGTACGTACGTATCATTTGATAAACGGACAGACGCAATAAGAAAGGCAAACAAACAATCAAAACCAATTGAATTGATTAATCAACAATGCGTAATGAGGGTAATAATAATAAAATGAACATCATTTCGTTCCAAAAATTCATGCATGTGCAACAACATTGATTTTCAAAAATCAGTCCTTTCACAAAGTGCATAGTCTGCTTCTTTTCTGTGCAAAAACTCTTGTTTTTTGTAGTTTTGAGCTAGCCAACAAAATATGGAATCATATTTGTTTGTGAAATCTACATAATTTTTGACATTTCGTCTACACAAGAAAATTAAGGATGACAATGACAACAACAACGAAGATGTGCATGTGTTATGAAGACATGTTTCATTATTATGAAGCAAGTTGCATAATGCTTCATATCATCCTCTAAATAAATTATGATTTTACAGCGTTGCATCCTCATTATCTTCGTCGTCATCACCTTTTGAGAGAATTAATGATAATTAATTATCGCGGAACTCGTGCCACTCACAATATTATTACACCTTTCCTCTGACCCCAAACGCCCTTTCTTCACACACACACAACGTAATCGTTTATTTCGCTGCTACTAATTTTCAATAAATCTCTAAATCTGGCAAATTAGCCGGTAATTTGTATTCATTTTGTGTAAATGTATATATGCAATTCACTGCATTGGTCAAGTTTAAGAAATAAATACGTTATGCATGAACAATGAAATGTGGCGAACAATTCGTTTTTTTACTATTTAAAAAATGTGCGTTTTTTACAATTTTAATTTCTTCATGGTGCTTTTAAGTAAAAAAAAAAGTAAATGAGTTCGAATTGGTAGTAACAATATGAACGACAACAATTTGTGGGGTCCACTTTAAGGCTAGATTTGAATAACATGGACACACGGGTTTCCTTCCTTGACTTAATTTTTTAGACTTCTGCAACCGTTGTGCATCCACCCACGACTTTTTTTCTATATAAGGCTTTGTTTTGTTGTATGGTATTCTTATGTAACAACAATGGAGAAATAGCGTATGACATAATGCTACATTGAGTGGAGCGTTGGGAGCTAAATAAAGAACAGGACATAATATAAATAATACCTCGACTGGTGCTACCACACCATTCAAGTAAAGTGCATGACTGTCACATCCCAATTGTTACCAATAATGGGGATTGTTGATAGTGGTGGGTGACAATCAGGTACATAATTCATTGTCACATTAGTGGATCGAGTGTGTGTGGCTTCATTGTTGCATTGAAGAAATGAATGAGTATGTATCTCTGGTCCGATAATGCATTGTTGAATTAGATATTTAAGAACGGAAAGAAGTTCTTTGACATTTGAGCTAAAAATTTTGAAATAACTCTCCATGAAAAATATTATGGCACAATTTTAGCCCGTTTTTGACACGTTGACCAACCAAACTTCCAAACTGGCTGAGATACCGTGTTGTGTACGATGTGCTGGTGTGATTGATGGGCTGACTGACATGACAATGTTGTACAGTGGTTTAGTGTTAAGTGTAGATTATTATATAATCCCATCACTTCAAAATTAAAATTTAGAACTGATTGAGACTTTTAAAAGTTGATTGACAGTGAAATTACCTTCTTAGAAAAATTATGCAATTGCAGTTGCTCGGTTTGGAAAATGGCTTTGTTCAAGTGAAAAAATTAAATTAGGAAAGATATCATAATGCTTAAACGACCAGTAGTGAGTGACCAACGACCAGACGCGTATTCATGGGACACACTTGTGGGAAGTGAAGCATGAGATTGGCTTCACAGTAAAATCATCATGACCAATTTTCTTTAGAAAAGAATGACCTTGGATTCGAATTTGAGTTTAAATCTGCATTTAAAAGAGAAAACATTGATTGTATTTAGGAAATGGATACAAGTTTTTCTTGTATTCTCACCTCCACCACATTCACAGCGAAATGTATTACATTGTCGCGAGTGAAAAAGTACTTTGCAGATAATAAGATGAGTTCCTTTGTGGACTGATAAGCCCCTCTCAGACTAATCGCATATAATATTATCGTCCGTCGTACACAATATGCACAAGCATCATATCATTGTTATTAGGAAACGTTTCTATTTATCTATTTAGTACTATTCCGTGATGCAACTTCATCTCTTGGTCACATCACAATCAAGGTCTGAATGAACTGTTGGCAGCTGCATATTTGCAATTGTAAGTGATGTAAGGCTTATCACTTTACTTATCATAACCACAAAGATAAGTATGTATTTGCAAACCTGGAGATGGATGGATGGAATGCCTGACGCGGCCTTAATCATCGTCATTCATGAAATATTCCTTAATTCTCGAGTGTACAGATACCAGCATGACACGAGATGAAGAGAGGATCAATTAAGAAGGAGATGAAACACTTACCCAAAATCACGATGAGGATTACGACGCTAACCGTGACCACTTGAACGAGCAATCTTCTCCGCGTCATCTTTCTCTTCTCTGTTGTCTGGCTTGTGGTGTGGCTGATAAAAAAGTTTGGTAGAAATTTCCAGGGATGGATTCGTTTTTTTTTAATATGGGTCCAATTCAGCTCATATTTATGGGTAAATCATTCATGAAGGGATGGAGGGGCGCACACCTGGAATACAAATACATAATGCAAAACATGTAATGTGGAAATTTTGTGGCTTGTTAAACACATATTCATAATTCTTAACAAGGAACAAGTTCAGGCAATTTGTGTAAATATCTACCACCACCACAAGTGGCGAGAAGATAAATAAATACTTAAAGTGTAATTGTATAATCGCTGCCGAAAGGAGAGAATGCAATAATGGGTAAGAATTAGGGAAGAATGACCACTATTAAATTGCGCAAGAATAATTTACACCCTCATTATTGCCTAGTTTTCAGTCTTTTAATGTCCTCACGGTATTTCACATTGCACTAAATGGTGCTAATGCTGTGGTAAGTAAAATGTTTTTGGACGTCTGATTAGATAGTTATCGTTACGGAAATGTAATCCAGTTCGGTCATTTAGTACATAGTGCTTGATGTGAGATACTTATTATTCAAGCTTTGAGTTAAGATGTCGCTATGCTGTTTTGTACTTTGTGCAATAAAAATGTGCATAATTGGTAACGATTATGCACAGAGAATAGGCAATTATCATAAAATTGATCTTTTCGTTATTACCCTTGTAATTAGTTGTCATTTGTTAATACGTTTGCAATTGTTGACCAACGGAGTGCAGAAATTGTGCGATGTTTGCACATTGCCAATGATGCAGCAAAAATTTAGGATTTATCTCCAGATTTTACAGGAGATCCAGTAAACTGGCTCGTAATTAATCATACCTTGAATTCTAGTGTGTTTCACTCTTGGTAAAGGAATTTAAATAAAAAATGCGAATACTTTCCGAGACCCGTTTTTTCTCTGTCCGCTTCATTTATCTACTTTTCAAGGTTGATTTTGATTCGAATTTTTTAAATAGGCGACGACGACACGCCGGGACACAGCAGGCAGGAGACGTGCGTTAGAAGTACACACCTGACTTGCCAGTCACGCTCTCAAAAAGTTGCAAACTTTGATTTTGTTTGGTGTCACAGTTTAAATGGAGGAAGAAAAAGACTAATCGATACGTCGTTAAAGTGAGCAGTTGTAGGAAATTCGACATTTTTTGGCGATTAGTACACTAAATTTTTGGACGACAGTTTTGGAAGGGATATCGAAAAGTTGTTGTTACTTTGAAATTTTCATTTAGAACGAACCACCACGACATTTCTTGCTCTCAATCTGACACAGCGGATTATTTTATTTTTGCCCACCGGCACAGGTAGCACCAAAGAGCATAAAATTCTAGGAAAAAAGAGTGCATGGCATCAACCAGACATCAATTTCCTCTGTAGTAAGTAGTTTCTCGTAATAAAAAATCAATCAGCAAAGTGCCACATCACGTCACGAGTTTGCCAACTAACAACCAAGTTGATCACACCGATAAAATAATGTGATCCTTCCGTCTATGATGGGCACACAATGCACACAATTCGATCTCTACAGTCTAAAATAAATAAGTAAATAAAATTTGAATAATTTTTAAAATTTCCAAACTTTGATAAAAAATGACTTTATAATTTGATCTGTCAAAATATTTATGTATTTCATTACATAGAAAAATTATCATAAAATATTTAACAAAGAAAGTTTTTAAAACTTGGCCTGATTTACATTTTGTGATTTCATTTAATTTTCACACCTTGTGTGCTCCTCACACCGTGCGTTGCATCCTCGCCTCCTCCTCCCAAAGGAAAGGAAAGGAAAATGCACCCATGAATATTTTACGTGTTTTCATCTTGCAAAATGATATTACTTATTCCCCTAAAATGGGGACATGATTAATGCTCCACCTTTTGTATAAGGATGTTGGACGCGGCTGATTAGCGGCGTAGGGAAATTAAGGTTTGTCCTACGAGAGAACTGCTGCCTTTTTATTGCTGTGATATGATTTCGATGGCATTTGGAGCAAGGCGAAGAAGAAGATCATGCCGACAGTAAAAGGAAGAGTGAAATGCCTTCATTGTTGAGGGCAGAGCAGAATCTCCTTTGTGTCTGCAGGCGTCTCAACACTAATTATTTGTCACGTTTTCATTTTCATTTGATATTAATCTGCATGCTGAGACAGATGAAATGATCTCGGATTAAAAGTCTCGACTAGTTAATCTCCTCAGGTGAGTGACGTGTGTGGCTTGGCCGTAAGCTAACCACTGGTAAAGAGTAAACTGTTTATTGCTTGGCTAGCACAACGTTACTATTCTTTGCACTTTTAGTAGTGAAAATTAGAGCTATGTAAAAAAAGTAATTGCTAAAAATCACCATCTATGACAAATATCTGCATAATTTGTGAGTGGATTATCTGATTATCTGGGAGGAAAAAAACACTTATTGTACCGTGATTTTGGAATCAGAATATGTATTTACATAAAAATTGCAACTGGATCACCACTTCCATTATTCACCTACATACATGTTGTCATGGTGACGAATCATTTTACATGAATCTCCCACTTCCCACAAAATATTTACAACCTAATGATATTATTATATACATGCATAATTGCCTAAACCAATTGAATTAATACATCGCACTTGAAATAACTGAAACTGTGCATGTCAGCTATTACCACGAAAAAAAATGTGAATCAGTGTGGGATTATTACGACCATGGAATTCAGCATTAAGGTCAAACCGAGTAATAATCTGCTTTATTACGGAACAAACATTGACACAAGTCTTAAAATAGTCTGCATTGCGAGGACCATGTCGGAATTATTCACGGTATATTTCGAGAAGTGACTGGTTGACGCATAGTTCAAATGCATGTAGCCGAATTATGAGCGGTTATCATACAACAAAGCGAATGACCATATTTGCTAAGCTTCTTCTTTTTCGTGTAGAATTGTGTGTCTGTGTGTGATCCTGTAATATTTACACAGCGAAGATGAGAATGAGGAAGAATCGATCATCCTCCAATAACTCTGTCTCTTACTTTCCCTTCCGTCCTTTTTCATCCTTTGTAAATGTCGCCTAATCGGCCAATCTATACTCTTGGCAGTGCATCATCCTTATTTATTCGCAACTCTGCCATCCATTCTCTCTCTCAACCAAACGGAGACGGAGATGATGATGGCTTAATAGCAGTTAAATTACTATTTACGAGGATTTGATACGAGCCAGGCCACTCATACAAGTATTTGAAAGTAATTAGTATCGTCACATCTGCACTCGTGTACATGTATCCGTTGGCTTTTAATATAATGCAAATATAAGCTGGTTGGCAATTGCATGATTGATTAATGACTTATTCGATTCAGTCTGACCACTGCAACCCAGAGGTTTTTAATTGCCAAGCGAAAGGATGTAGGTGATAATCCTCGCCAGCATTTTTATAATGATTGGAAATTCCCATTAATTTTTCTCTTTTAATATTTGTTTGTTTATGAAATTAAAATCATTTCTTTGACTTTGCGACAAGGCACACATTTTTTCGCGAAAACAAGGAAACGGAAATCGGGACAAAAATAATAATGTTACATTTCACTTATTTTTTGAAAGAATGAGTTCAATTGTTGTGAACAAGAGTCATCCATCGGATTGAAACATATTTTGTGGAGTGATTTAGTATTTTCATGCTATTATAAAAGTTGGCGAGTGGCGTACCGTACTGCAGTAGGTACGTACGCAGGTCTGTCTAACAAGAAAAAAATGAAGGAATTGCAATTACACACAAAATGAACGAGACATTTTTTCTTCCTTCCGAGTTGCTTGGTCGGTCAAATCAAATCAGGCAAACACACCCACAGTCAATTTATTTCACCAAAAGTAAATGCAGACTTGATGTGCACGTTGTTGGTGTAATTGTTGTTTGGTTATGTCAGATAGAGACAGGAGTGTACTCGTTCGTTCGTATAATAATGTGGTAATAAAGTGATAAATTGGATTAGGTAAGGGAGGCAGGAAGGAAACAGGTTTTTCTTCTAAATGTGATATACATATTAAAAGATTATACAATTATTTTGTGCATTTTCATTTAACAAATTTGAATTTAAAATATTGCTATCTGCATTTTGCATGTAAAGAAATAAATCATCGGGTATGTACGAGAAGGATGAAATATGATTCCAGATCGATGCACAACTTTTGCGACGGTAACAACTCCTTGTCCCTGATGGTAACTGCTCCAGGTTTCAGTTTACAATGAATTGTCGCATATTTAAATTTGGCCAAGAATCGAAAGTGAAATTTGTACTGAGCGGAAGGCAGGAAGGCCGGAATTCACGAAGCACACGTTTACAAATATTTGTTTGCCATCGTCGTCGTGTCAAATGTAAAACGACTTTATCATGTCTTGTGTAATTTAGTTTGGCGTGGAATAAGCGAACGACGGACACGGTGTAACAGTGCACAATAACAAGTTTGGTTGAGATGATGGACGGACATTGTTAGCTGAATTTCAGTATTTGATGCAGTTTGGTGGTCTGGTCAGTTTGTGTGGTGGCGATACGTAACCAAGCACATTTAAGCATTAGTAAATTTTTGGGCATTTCTTGATTTAAAGAGTGTCGTCGTCGTCCCAAATTATCGATTGAGAGTTCACTTGTTATCTTATTATTATTATCGGAATGGCTCGGAATTAGACCGCAGGCCTTTTACGATCCACCTGCGTAGATGAAATGTTACGGTCACTCTTCTGCATACATGGAGCCAACTGAAACTCTCTCCGTAATTGAGACTATTGTGTTGGATCGAAAAGGTGTTAAAGTATAAATTGCAGATAAAAACCGTGCATGGATGATGACGACGGCAGTGAAATGGAGTATGATAAATGCAATCCTACCAAATCCCACATACGTCCACTCCACATGACATGTACGTACATTCATGTACATATGTGCATATTTTAATATATGTAAGCAGCTCAGGCTAAATAATGATGATGATAAATAATGGTGCGATTTTCCCTTCCCAACTTGAACTTGTGAATGAGCATAATACTTTTGATTTGAAAATTATGTTCTCAAAGGAAAATTGTGCAGAGTATTTGCCTCCACGCTTTTTTCTACTTTTGCACATTGAGTAATTTTGTAATTGCTAGTTTGCTAATTAATCAAGTTGCATTATCGAATAAAAATAAATAGTTGGCTGATTTATTAATATTTTACTTCATCTCGAATTGATGCGATTATACGCGTTATCTTCCTCACCAACAAATAAATAAATGTGCAGTAAGCTTAAAAAAAAGTATAATTGGTGGTCAGTGCAGTGACCAGAAGAAGAGGATGGAATAATAATATTACTACAACTTATTTTGAGCAAGTAAAATGCAGGTGAATGAATATGTGAAGAATTCACTTCACTTAATTCCGTATACTTCACTTGAGTCAGTCAGTAATGAAATCGTCCATCCGTCCATTGTTTCTTCTTTTTAAAATGATGCCTATGTACATTTGCCACTTAAAATTTCTAAATTAATAGGAATATCTCTCCATTCAAGTAAAGTGAGTGAGTGAATTGTTCCCAAAATTAAAATTGTTTTGAAAGTTGCGTTTACTTAAAATATCCAAGTTAAGTACGTTTCCCGTCTTTACGATGATTTGACGAATTGCTTAAACCACTGCTTACCTTTAGAATTTCAAATCCGTTCTTGAATGTTTGAATAGAAATTAAAATCCAGAGTAGTGGCAAATTTTCCTAAATTTCGTATCACTAAAGTTCACCCAAGCTGTGGATCAAAGTGAGACGAAAGTGAGGCTGACACTTGTTGCACTTGTCCTTTGCTCAAGTCCAGATTTAGCAAGAATTGTGCCTCTTACTTAACAGTCTCACAATAAGACAGGTCTCTGAATCTAGCGATGTCGCACTTTCTGAGAACAGCTCGTCAAGTTTCTCACAATAGTTCCGCAACAAAATAAACTTTACCAATAAATTGAGAAATTTTAAATGTTGCAGTGCACACTTGATAATTAATATTACTTGATTAAACAAATTAATTCCAGGAGAAAAATTGAGACTTTTACCAAAATTGGGTAAATTTTGAATAGGAAAGTAGGTAAATGTTTCTCTCAAGGAAGATGAAGAGAGACTGGACTCAAGACGGTGAAGCTGTGGAGAGCAAATAAGTCTCATTCATTCTCCTTCAGTCAGATTCACTTTTTATCGAAGGAAGGATATAATCAAAATGTAAATCTGTGTGTGCATACTCGAAGAGAAGGAGTTGGAGTCGTGGGCTTGCTTTATTATGGCGCAAGGGAGCATTGTTGTTGTTGTGGGACCAGCTCGTTCCTCAGCTATTACTTCGATTCTTCTGCATAGTTCTGTACTTTAGGGTGGTTGGTAAGAAGTAAATAAACATACGATGCACTTGGAAGGATGGATGGCAAGTGGTTTTTTTTCGAAGAAGAAATTAAATAATAATGCGAATACATGTATTTGTGGTGTGTAAGAGATAATTTAGTAATGAGAAATTAAATAAAGTGTGCATTTTGCATTTTTTCTCAAATCGGTTCTATTTCACCTGTCATTTCATCATGCCCGAGTTAATACAATAACTTGTCAAAATGTTCTAGTTTCATGATGCCTTTTAATTGTAGGAAGTACTCAGTCTTTTCTGATTGCGAGGACATATTAAGGAAGCATAATTTTAATTTGCTTTCCCAAATCATGGACAAATTATCGCACTTTTGTACTCGTATGAAAGGTAGTGCGTATAAGAGTGAGCAGAACGGAGTCAATCATATCAAACCACCAAACAATTGAGAGTGGATGCAGCCAAACTTTATCTCTGGTTCTGGATGGATGAAAAGAAGTTATTTTTTTGTAAAAGTGAATAAAATGCAGTACAGAAAACCTACCACAAAAGAAATATTACGCGAATCATTCTCCATGTCATGTTCTCATAAATAATCAGTACCACACCGCACCAGATTTAATAGTTTAGTATTAGCTGTGTAGCTATTCTTCTTGGTCTGGGATTGATCCATCAGCAGGGCGGAAGTATGCAATACATGGAAGTTGGTTATATTATTGGACCAAAAAAGAAACATACGCTTAAATAATAAGAATAAGGTCTGACTTTGCAGAATTGAGAGTGCAGTAAGAAAAAAATTGACCTTATGTGCGCCTTTATTACAGGGAATTTACGTGATGAAATTGTTCACCATATTTGTTTGAATTCATTTCGTATGCATTTTCAAGAGCACTTTAATCCGACTTATTGACTCATTTCTGCTGAATATTCGTCGATAATTTTATTTCATGCGTTGGCCACACTTCATTTAAAACGAGTGAGATTTGATGTGCATTCATGTTATTTAATGTGTGAATCCATACGTAGTAGAAGGAAGATCTGTATTATTACGACCAGGCTATTAAATCATAACTAAATGAGAATACTGCCTCTTCTAAACATTCTGCTTACTTGTGCCCGATTAATGTTAAATTTTAAATTTTATTTTACAATTAGACCTAAAACGAATGACTGTAATCCGAGTATTACGTATCAACAGATCAGTTCACAGTAAACATCCTTATGTAATGGCAAAATATGCCAATAAATTGGCGTCTGATAAATGAACTCGAGCTTAAAAAATTTACTGATAAGGCAAGCAAATTCATACATGAACGACTTATGTAAGGAACGCTGAAATCGACTGACCGACTAAATCACAGGTTGCCGACGGACTGCGTACGTACGGAAACTTATCATCGTAGGATTACCGGTTTGAATTTTAAAATCGTTTGTGTTTAGAGATTATATTTATGATGCGGTTATGTTGGGTGCAAGTATATGTATGTATCTTATGAAATAATGAATAAATGATGGACTCAAACATCAAGATGTACATATTAGTAACAAATACTGCGGCTTAATTTGCAATAAATGTAATACTGACCGTGAGATTACTAAAGATTAAAATAAATTTACAACTTTATTCGCATAAGTAGAAATCATATTCAATCGTTCGAGTATAGTCCAGTGAGAGGGTTAAAAATATTAAACCGCTACAATGGGTCAAATTTTGAAATATTTGGTACCACTGTGGGTGGTACTAAATATTGGCGGAGTTCTAGCACAGACAGGTACCTCCAGCAGTTAAAAAAATATTTAATACAAATATATATTAAACAAGTCAACAAAAATTTTGCTACCTTTGCATAAAATTTAAAGACACACCTGTCGGCTATTTAATAGAGCCAAATTGGGTAACTTCAAGGTTCATATGTATGTGCAATGATACATATTTCAGTCAAAAATTAGCTAAACCGGTAAAGTGGTTGATGGAGTTATTTATGTAGTTGAATAGCACTAAATTTTATTGTATTTGAAACCTGACATTTGGTTTGAAGATGAACGCAACCAATGAGTATAATGATGTATTGAAGATCATTTTTATCAAGTAGCCATAGAACATGGGGAACAATACTACTTTTTCAAATTGGGCGAATAAGTTTAGGATGATTGAGTATATGACACTGACTTATATACATATTCCTAATCACAATTCGTGGAAATATTGATCATTATTATAATATAATTACAGAAACAACAGATCCCGAAATTACAACTACAGACCCAGCAATCACAACTACAGACCCAGCTATTACAACTACAGACCCAGCAATCACAACTACAGACCCAGCTATTACAACTACAGACCCAGCAATCACAACTACAGACCCAGCAATCACAACTACAGACCCAGCTATTACAACTACGGACCCAGCAATCACAATTACTGACCCAGCAGTCACAACTACAGACCCAGCTATTACAACTACGGACCCAGCAATCACAACTACTGACCCAGCTATTACAACTACAGACCCAGCAATCACAACTACTGACCCAGCTATTACAACTACAGACCCAGCAATCACAACTACAGACCCAGCTATTACAACTACAGACCCAGCAATCACAACTACAGACCCAGCAATCACAACTACAGACCCAGCTATTACAACTACGGACCCAGCAATCACAACTACTGACCCAGCAGTCACAACTACAGACCCAGCTATTACAACTACGGACCCAGCAATCACAACTACAGACCCAGCTATTACAACTACAGACCCAGCAATCACAACTACAGACCCAGCTATTACAACTACAGACCCAGCAATCACAACTACAGACCCAGCTATTACAACTACAGACCCAGCAATCACAACTACAGACCCAGCAATCACAACTACAGACCCAGCTATTACAACTACGGACCCAGCAATCACAACTACTGACCCAGCAGTCACAACTACAGACCCAGCTATTACAACTACGGACCCAGCAATCACAACTACTGACCCAGCTATTACAACTACAGACCCAGCAATCACAACTACTGACCCAGCTATTACAACTACAGACCCAGCAATCACAACTACTGACCCAGCTATTACAACTACAGACCCAGCAATCACAACTACTGACCCAGCTATTACAACTACAGACTCAGCAGTCACAACTACAGACCCAGCTACTACAACTACAGACCCAGCAATCACAACTACTGACCCAGCTATTACAACTACAGACCCAGCAATCACAACTACTGACCCAGCTATTACAACTACAGACCCAGCAATCACAACTACTGACCCAGCTATTACAACTACAGACCCAGCAATCACAACTACTGACCCAGCAATCACAACTACTGACCCAGCTATTACAACTACTGACCCAGCAATCACAACTACAGACCCAGCTATTACAACTACGGACCCAGCTATTACAACTACAGACCCAGCAATCACAACTACTGACCCAGCTATTACAACTACGGACCCAGCAATCACAACTACTGACCCAGCAGTCACAACTACAGACCCAGCTATTACAACTACGGACCCAGCAATCACAACTACTGACCCAGCTATTACAACTACAGACCCAGCAATCACAACTACTGACCCAGCTATTACAACTACTGACCCAGCAATCACAACTACAGACCCAGCTATTACAACTACGGACCCAGCTATTACAACTACAGACCCAGCAATCACAACTACTGACCCAGCTATTACAACTACGGACCCAGCAATCACAACTACAGACTCAGCAGTCACAACTACAGACCCAGCTATTACAACTACGGACCCAGCAATCACAACTACTGACCCAGCTATTACAACTACAGACCCAGCAATCACAACTACTGACCCAGCTATTACAACTACAGACCCAGCAATCACAACTACAGACCCAGCTATTACAACTACAGACCCAGCAATCACAACTACTGACCCAGCAATCACAACTACTGACCCAGCTATTACAACTACTGACCCAGCAATCACAACTACAGACCCAGCTATTACAACTACGGACCCAGCTATTACAACTACAGACCCAGCAATCACAACTACTGACCCAGCTATTACAACTACGGACCCAGCAATCACAACTACTGACCCAGCAGTCACAACTACAGACCCAGCTATTACAACTACGGACCCAGCAATCACAACTACTGACCCAGCTATTACAACTACAGACCCAGCAATCACAACTACTGACCCAGCTATAACAACTACTGACCCAGCAATCACAACTACAGACCCAGCAATCACAACTACAGACCCAGCTATTACAACTACGGACCCAGCTATTACAACTACAGACCCAGCAATCACAACTACTGACCCAGCAGTCACAACTACAGACCCAGCTATTACAACTACGGACCCAGCAATCACAACTACTGACCCAGCTATTACAACTACAGACCCAGCAATCACAACTACTGACCCAGCTATAACAACTACTGACCCAGCAATCACAACTACAGACCCAGCAATCACAACTACAGACCCAGCTATTACAACTACGGACCCAGCTATTACAACTACAGACCCAGCAATCACAACTACTGACCCAGCTATTACAACTACAGACTCAGCAGTCACAACTACTGACCCAGCAGTCACAACTACAGACCCAGCTATTACAACTACGGACCCAGCAATCACAACTACTGACCCAGCTATTACAACTACAGACCCAGCATTCACAACTACTGACCCAGCTATTACAACTACAGCCCAGCAATCACAACTACTGACCCAGCTATTACAACTACAGACTCAGCAGTCACAACTACAGACCCAGCTATTACAACTACAGACCCAGCAATCACAACTACTGACCCAGCTATTACAACTACTGACCCAGCAATCACAACTACAGACCCAGCTATTACAACTACGGACCCAGCAATCACAACTACTGACCCAGCTATTACAACTACTGACCCAGCAATCACAACTACAGACCCAGCAATCACAACTACTGACCCGGCTATTACAACTACAGACTCAGCAGTCACAACTACAGACCCAGCAGTCACAACTACAGACCCAGCTATTACAACTACGGACCCAGCTATTACAACTACAGACCCAGCAATCACAACTACTGACCCAGCTATTACAACTACAGACCCAGCAATCACAACTACTGACCCAGCTATTACAACTACAGACTCAGCAGTCACAACTACAGACCCAGCTATTACAACTACAGACCCAGCAATCACAACTACTGACCCAGCAATCACAACTACAGACCCAGCAATCACAACTACAGACCCAGCAATCACAACTACTGACCCAGCAATCACAACTACAGACCCAGCAATCACAACTACAGATCCAACAATTTCAACCACACCTAGTCCAGAAATATCAACAAGTCAGGTTCCATCAACCTCAACATTGCGTACCACTACTCTAACCGCGTGTCCAAATGGTACGTTGACTTGGTCACTGCTCTCAGCAATTAGCGTTTTTGGTCATATCCCTCTATCAATAAGGGGCCCATGTTTCCGTGACATGGTCAGTGTGGAATGCCGCTTTTATGATGTTGTTACCACTACAGTTAGAGCTGCTGGAAATGGCGACTCGCTTAGAGTGTGCCAAATACCGTACCTTTACAGGCGTGGTTATTTGAGAATCGACATTATTCTTAATTACCCCAACGCTGCTCCCATCGTTCATCCATACCACTGGCACTACGTGTACGAACTCGAGAATTTTGGCCGTTCTCAAATGCTAGTTGCCTCAGTCGAAAATTCTGGTTCAGTTTCATTGCAATGGACTCCTTCCTACTTTGGTCACCCTTCGATGCAGCTCCAACTAAACCTCGTGGAGTTGGACCTCTTTTCTGGAGAATGGGAAGACAAAGGGGTGCTCAAGAACTTGGTTCCCAACTCGGGACGTTATGTCGGCCAAGTGGATAATGTCGGTCTCCTCCAAGAAGCAACCGCAACTTTCCTCCTTGTCCTTCGACCTCTTGCACAACAATTACCTCTATCACTCAAATACCTTCATTCTGAGGCACAGTACACAAATTATGGCAAGACTGAAGCCGCATACCAGCGACTTTGTAGCGAATGGCATCAAAGCGATAATGGTCCACCAAGGAATTTAGAAATATGTCCCCCATTCTACAGTCAAGCTGTTCGCGATGGAAGGTTCTGGAGAGAATCCATGCCCAGAGATGTATTAAATTTTTTCCACCCCGGAGCCCACCATTCTTTTTTGCAGAGCAATCCAAATTCTGCAGGTGAGATGAATATTCTCTATGCAACCAAGTATTGAAATTTGAAGGTATGAACTAATAAAAGGGTTTGTAACAAAGGTGCCGGTCAGCAATGTGTTTATGGGCCCAGCCAGATTTTGGTTGGAGCCCCTGGGGGAGGGTCGTGCGATAGTGCTAGTCGTCTTAGTCTTACTGGATATGTGCGCCACCACCAACTAGACGTGACCCCCTGGTATTTTTGTTGCAAGTATTCAGGAAGTGCAGACTCATGTCGACGCTATTATGAGAAACGTCCTTCCAATTCGGGCGCTGGTTATGTGCCCCCACGACCCGGAAGCGGGGGTGGAGATCCGCATATGACCACATTTGATGGGGTGGATTATACGTTTAACGGGGTTGGAGAATTTTGGATGATTAAACCTCGATCTGGTTCACCCTACCCAAGGTTATCTGTGCAGGTTTGACTAAAATATAATGAAATTTGATGATGATTATGCAATTTGACGCAATGCATGGAAATACGAAATGTGTTTAAATTTTAGGGCAGGATAGCAGAGTTGCAGGGAACAAATGCCTCCATCTTCACAGCATTCGCTTTCAAGGAGTTTATGAGTGCTTCGTCCTCTGCATCATACACCGTAAAGCTTGACAGTGACGGCTCTCTTCGAGCACTGCATGTCTCATCGGGGCGTCCAGAACCGGTTAATATTTCCATTTCCGACATTCCATCCGACTGGGACACATCCGACGGAGCACCGTGGACCATATCCGATGAGACCAATACCGTCTCAATTTCCCTCTTTGTAACCACTACGAACAATGTGAGACGGGTGTCCATGGTCAGTCTCACCTTCACCTCTGGCTTCTCCTTCTCCATCAGCATTCTTTCTATTAGTGAAAAAGCACTCAACATTTTGAGCAGCGCTGATATCTCTGCGTCCACTAAAGGATACACTGGACTATTTGGAAAATATGACAATATCACAACCAACGATCTAGAGGGTCAAGACTTAGTAGTGACTGCACCTGATGCTAACCTCGAAGTGATACACAATGCGTTTGGAATGACATGGTTGACAAAGGAAGTCGAAACTGTGTTTGTGTATGACGAAGGGGAAACTCATTCCGACTTTCCAGACACAGACTTCACACCTTCATTCGTTGAAGTGAATATTGACGACGTCCCCGAAGTCATTGCAGACTTGTGCGGCGATTCTAAAGCTTGTCGCTTCGATTATGTTAGTTCCGGTGGCGACTATTCCTTTGCTGAAGGCACAAAAGAGTTCGTAGAAGAATTTGAAGAAGTTAAAGAAGCTCATGACCTCGTGCTGATATTTTGCCCCGAACTGACACCCCCAGAAAATGGATACTACACCGTTCCCAACTTCCTCAACGGGTCAATCGCCACATTCTCCTGTGATGGGAGCTACATTCTCGACGGTTCAGAAGAGTTGGTGTGCAACGATTCTGGAGCATGGTCAGGTTCAGAGCCGAAATGCGTTTTCAAGGACAGGGATATCATCGTTGGAGGAGGAATTGTGCCAGTGTCATCCTCACTCTTGATTATCTTGTCGATAGGAGTCTTACCAAGATTGCTGCTCCTGTAAAATTTGTAAAATCATTTATTCACAAAGTTTTATCTATCTCTGTAAATATATTTCACAAAAATAAATTATTTTATAAATGCATAAAAATATTTCCTCTTAAAAAAGTGGATTGTGTGAAATGCGTTGCAAAATGCCTGGGTCGACGAAATATAAAAACATAAAATAAATAAACGCACAAGATTTCATATATTCATACAGCAATTTTATTTTATTTAGTGGCCTTCTCTACCTTGCGGGGTTTTTGGTTTTTGGTTTTATTGGCACAAATTTTCTAGCATAATTACGCTTAATTACACCATCTCGCATCATCACCTCAAAGTTCGGCAGTTGAAGATCAAACAATTATTGTTGTTGCTGACTAATTTTGGTTAGAAAAGCCAAAGTCAGGCCAACACCCCGTCAAGAGTCAGACAGACTCTCATCACAATCATTACAGGAACGGATTGCTCAATACAGTTAGAATTATGCAGATTGTTGGCTTATTTTATGAATGTTTGTTTTTCTTGTGCGGAGAGAGACGAATGCAATGATCATCTCTCATTAATAAACATGAATACGAAGTAAATTTGTAAATAAATGTGTTGTAATATAAATGATGGTCAAATTTTGGTAAGAAAAGTGGAAATTCAATGCATGAGGAAAGAGCGATACGATCAAAGTCAATGGTCAGTTATTGAATGTCATTGAGCTTGCGGTTTTGCCAATTACTGTTTCAAATGATGGGAATAGACTTGATTTTTTTTGTATTGGCGAAGGTTCAAATTCTAAATTATTTTTATTTTTATATATTTAAATCTTGCAAAAAATAGATTTGACAAGTAATACATAAACTTGGCTAAAAAGTTTATACATAGTTTTGAGATCATGTCGATTACTTATTAAACTGTTCTGATAACATTGAGATTTGATTGTGATATGAAAAAGTCCGGAAATTAGGGCTCACTTCATCACATTGCTATCGTTGATCAGAAATAGTGGTCTTAATACAACGACTGGGTGGTCAATCAAATTATCGTCGGATTCTTCATTAAGTGATCCATTCATCTCTCTGATGAATAACAACAGTTGGTTATTTAGTTGTGGTTGTGTTTTTCTTGTTGGTCATCTCCTGCATAAGAGAACTGATTGTTTGGCGAGAAGGTATTTGACCATGAGGGAAAAATATGTAGGATACCCCGCGGGTACACAGATTAAAATTGTATACTATGCGATGCACTTATCTGTTTAAAAGGGAAATTAACAACGACTTGGTAGAAACAAGGCTTCATTTTTTTCAAATCGTATAATGATAAAATTATTTTTTGAAGATGTAATTTTTTTATTTGCTAAAATATGCGACATTTTCGTACATGTATTCTATCAAATTCACATACTTGTACATACGTACGAAAAACAGTTATATTGTGACTCACAATATACATACGTAACTGTCAGTCACAATTTTTGTGACTGACAAGATCAATCCAAGGTCCGATTGATTATCGATCAGATTTGATGATGGATTGAACCTATTCTTTTATTAGGATCAAAAACTTCCCTCTGGATGAAAATGTGATAACTGTACAATTCCTGCTACTTCATGTATATCTACTACTTGTCATCACCATTAATAAACACTCATCGTCTAACAAAGCGTCTTGATGAAATTGAAACAATTTGAATGAATGCAGGGCTAATTATGAATAATAAAGCTGGTGATTGATCCTGATTGTGCAGTTTAACTCAAGTTTATGAATGTATGCATGATACTGATTGGGATATTTATTAATAAGTAACAATAAGTTGGGCCAGGAGGAAGGGAGGGTGGAAGGAAGGAAGGAAGGAAAGAAAAGCGGAAGGTTAAATGTTTAAACAATGATGTTGAATCTGTTAATTGTTCTATTAACCTCTTATGGACGAAAGACATACAATTTTGCTTTCCCTTAGGGACAAAATGCATATATTTGTGAAGTTATGTTGTTTTCAAATTCGAGATCTTCATAATTTTATTTCGCATATTTTTGGGTGAGGTTGCTTGAAAATGTAGCAAATTATTTTCACACAATTTGAACAGATTGTGGATTCTTAATTTCATAGTCTTGCATGAAATGATGCCTCAAATTTTAGTATTCGTCCCCAAAGTAAAGAATCTTACAATTAATTAGTGATAAATATGTTTTAAACATGTGTATTATTCATTAACAACGGATTATCTTCAATAATTCACTTAAAAGATAAGAGGTTAAGAAAAGTAACTGGTTCAATGTTACCCCGCGTAAAATACTTTTTGTCCTTTCCTTGAACAATTATTAAATAAATGGATCGATCAGTCTGAGATAACCACTGAGACGCATCAAGCTACAATAAACCCATGAAATTTACATGATTTAAGCACATTTGCATTTTCACACGACTTTTATTTCAGTCACTGAAATATTTGCAGCTAAATTTACCATTTTCTGTATTTAGCCCAAAATTAATTATTTACTATTGTGAGTAAATGTGTCAGAGTTACGAGTAGAATATGCATTTATTTTCTTGGACACTAGATGAAAATGAAGCTTGACGAATTGCATTTTTTCTGAACCACTGCAGCGGAAAATGAGCACAGTTATTTGCATCGGAATATAAAAATGCAAATCTTTCATGTTCGCATTTACGTGTACTTATGTGTAATAAAAGTTTAACTTTTGGTGTAGAAAACCGCAGCTGAATTTTCATGAAATGTGCAATATTATGCAGTTTTCACAGCTTTATAAAAAAAAATGCATACTCAAATTTGTACCCAATTTCAAAAGCAAATTTTTAATTTGTGTAGTAACAACTTAAAAGCTTTTGAATGAAGGAAGGTGTTGGCTCCCTTTATGGACACTTTAATGGGTCGATCAATTGTGATTAAATTTAAATGTTATTGTCCGTTCCATTAAATTATGCGGTGTGCGTATTGTATCTCGATTCACGATGACGATTGATGATCGTAATGGCGATGGGGTGATGATGATGAGGCCAATTGTAGGGCCGAGGCAGGTGTGGCATATTGGTTGGTATTGATTTAATAGGAATATCGTAACAATGTCAAAACAACAATTTGAATTAAACTTGACACGTGGAATATTCGATTTAGCTGCACAATTTAGCAGAATTATTTTATTGGGACATACATATTTTCGCCTAAATTTAGGTCTTAGCAGTGCAAACATTTGCTGCCCAATTCTTCGTAATAACTCGTCATATTTCGACACACAAATACAGAAAGAAAGGTAATTAAAAAGTTGAAATTCGTAGGTGTAATTGGCCACTCGCTAGAATTGAGCTGCTGCTGCTCAAACAAATACTTGATGATAATTATGCACGGCATTACTAATCTTTATAAAATTAGAGGCTGAAAGAAAATCAGTATGCAAAATAATCCTATAATAAAACCCATTTTGTGACAGATGAGTAATAATCAAGTTCATTTATGTATTTATGACTTTTATGGCATATGTAAATACGTAGACAAACTCTGGCTAATTTTGAGAGACAGAATTTTGTGAAGCAACGATTTATAACGTTAATTTTATGTCATAATTGTTTTTTGATAAACCGTGTCATCCTTTTGTAAACAAGACACAATTATTTGAGCGATGACGAAACAGTATTTGGTTACTTGAAAATATCGAAAAATCAAATTATGGTTGGGATAAAAATATGCCATGGAAGAAGTAAGCATGCACTTGACTGCCCCTTATTCGACAAGTTGCACACAATAAAATTAGGAGTTAAGCCACAGCTTAAGCATTTCAATTTAAATTTAATACCAAGAATGGCCATTAGGTTTTACACACGTAAATAGGAATGAATAACGTTACGAGGGAACCTTGAGCTTAAATGGAAACTAACGAAGCACAACCAAGCATCTTAAAAAAATGTTACATTTACATGTCACAACTTTGATTTAGTTGTTAAGTTATTTAGTTCTGCTGCTTACCTGCCCAGGCAGATAATAGTGTTCTGGTCTTTTTTCACTTTCTGACTCCATTTAATTTCTGCCTATACAAAAGTGAGTCCCTCGGTTGGGTCCTTATTGATTAGTTGGCTGGGTGAGTGAGTGAGGAACTGAAAGAGTTCAACTGTTGTGTTGTGATTTGATGAATAATGGTCAATATTAGAATTGAATGGATGGACTTGAGCGAGATTGATTGAGTGACGTGCAGTGCCACGAACCAATAAATAATATAAAGACATTAATTCAATATTGAGGTTTTGAGACTTACACTAAGATTCAAGGGGAGCGAAAAGGAAGCCATTACGTTTTTAAGGACGGCAGGACAGCAGAAAAACTAGAGTATTATGAGATGGGAAAAATAAGAAGGGCAAAATTTTCGAATAGTTTACGTATCACTCAAAATATTTATGAAATATTTGTTAGGATAGATGATGCGTCAAGTTATGTAAAAAAGGAGATTTGCTTATAAACGATTATAATCTTGAATAACTCCAAAACCTTGGTTCAAAAATTCTAGTTTATGCGACGCCCTTTTAAAATATCAGGAGTTGAAAAATATGAAAAGAAGAATGGTCCATATTTATCCGTGCCAGATTTCCCAGTTACAAAACCGGAAATCTCGTACATACGTCGACTCGAAGTTCGAAAGATTGACTTTCAATAGAAAATACTGTATACACAGTCCAAACCGTTAATTAATGACATAATCTTTCAGATCTTACATAAAGAGCAGTATTCTGGCAATTAAGACTTTTTAGTGACGAATAACATGTCCCACTAATCAATGAGTATATAACGAGGCACGAGTTATGACTCGATGTCAAGGTTAAACTGATCAAATTACTAATTATCAAAAATATTTAACTAGTTGATTGCATCTGTCAACAATTAGCAAATTGTACGTGAAGGCTCGCATCATCTTCAAATTATGACTTAATCATTGCATATAATTGTGGCATTAGCTACACGCATTTTCGTTGGTGTTGATTAGTTCTGGTTCAAAATAGGTCTTGGAGTTGATAACAGTCCTTATCCACTAATTCTCAATGTACGTACACTACTGGGGACAAGGACATAATTATCTAACTTCGGGGCACAATGACACACATTGTTGTTTTTC